AGGCAGTAAAAAAGAAAGGTAGAATTTACCCCCTAATTCCTGCCATAATTTCTAGGAATTGAAACTCTAAAAATAAAGATAGAACACATAGCAGAGTTAATGCTCGGGCTGCCTTGAAAATAAAAAAAAAGAGTACATGTCTAGTAGAGAATCATGTATATACTTTCTTAGGCCAGGAGTATCTTTGGTCTTTAATTCAGGGGATAGATGGGGAAGCAGGCTTAACTTTTCGGGGGTCTTTCATCACTACTTCCTCCCTCTACTTTCCTTTAAGTGACAAGCCAGCTTTGTTTTCTTAATGTAAAGTACAGAAATGTTAAACATTCTTTTGCTTATTCCAGTCACATCAGCTATAAGGTTATTTGAAATATTCTGTACAAAATACAGAATTTTTTTTCTAGATTTCTGTTAATCTTTCCCACAATGGGTATGTACAGTGCATAAGGCTTTTTAAAAATATTTTTTAAAGATTTTATTTATTTATTCATGAGAGACAAGAAAGAGGCAGAGACATAGGCAGAGGGAGAAGCAGGCTCCCTGCGGGGAACCTGATGTAGGACTCAATCCCTGGACTCCAGGATCACGTCCTGGGCCAAAGGCAGACACTCAACACTGAGCATCCCTAAAAATATTTTTTTGTTACCATTGACATCTAGTAATTAGAAAGACTGCTAGGAGTTGACATAATAAACTAGGAGTTTCTAAAATAGAATAACATTTACTTAAAATTCTAGAATCCAAAATGCATACTGATTTTCACTGAACTTTAAAAGGCAGGTTAACACTGAAAAATCCCTGTTTAAAAATATACTTCTTGATAAGCAGGTAGAAAAGCATCACTTTAATTCTTTGTATTCAGTGGGGGAAAAAATGAGAGAAAATGCTGTAACTTAGAATAATAGTAATAACAGAGATGCAGCCAAGTATTTTTGTTGCCTGTCCAAGGGTTCAACTGCTGGCTTTTGAGGTGAGAACTTTGCAAATCCCTAACCTCTAGTAGAAAAGTTTCAAAAACACTGCAGTCTAGCAGTTCACTTGAGCAAATAAGTATATACAGTCTTCATCCTAACATTTGGTACCATATGGCACTCTGATGTCCACACAAAGAACATTCCACCACCTTCTACATCACTCAGTGGCCAACTGTCAAGATATTCCCATGAGTAGAGAGAGAGGATTTGTTACAATCACAGTGGGTCAGGGCACTTGTTTCCCTAACCGGTCAGCTTGACGCCTGCACCATTGGCTCGTTAAAACCAGATCCTTTGACAGATAGTGGCATTATTATTTCCCGAGCACAAACACACTGATGTGTCAAAAATGCTAGTTTGCTTATTTGTTACAGGACCATACCATCGAAATTTAGGAATAGAAAAAAAAAACAGCTTAATTAAGTGGAGAACCATCAAAAGCTAGCAGAAACTCAATGCTAGCAGAAACTCTAGAGTGGTCCTTCTGAATTGTTTCGGGATGATAGGTTGTGCGTCCTAATAAATCACGATGGCTGTTGTCTTTGGGAGTCTGTGCCAGGCACTCTGTATGCATCACCTTGGGTTCTTGCAACCACCCTGCAGACTGTGTGGTACCACCTCTGTTGTCAGCTGAAAGAACTGAGTCCCTGAGAGGTTCAGAAAATTGTCTGGCATCATAGAAGCATCAGATAGCAGGTGATGATTTAGCCCAAGTCTTCCTGATGGCAAAGCACAGTTCTATCATTCTCATGTGACTCAGCAGTGTTTATTATTATTTTTAAGAACCAATTTAAATGAGAAATAAAAATAACGCGGATGGCAGTGTGTTCCTGCAGGACGATGTCGGTGCACTTAGAGCTGCGTACGTCTTTGGGCTGCGTCTGTCCTCCTGCTTCCTTCCCAGACTTGGGTTTCTTGCAGCCTGAGTGGGATAAGCTTGCAGGGTGGGGGCGGGGGGTGGGGAGTTCTCATCCCGTCACTTATTGTCTACTAGAAGAGATTTCAAAGATTGAGGATGAAAATGAAAGTCAGACTTGGATTCCAGGTCTCAGAGTACATGAAGAGAGAGACCTTTAGATTGGCCAATATTTATAGCCTCGGGTAATACTGTTGGAGGGAATTGCATCCATAGGGAGAAGTGGCACTGAGTTCCATTATTGTGAATTGATTTCCATGCATGTGATCTCAAGTTAGTGTACCTTTGTGTGACCATCCATCACATCGTATCCCCTAAAGGTTTAGGCAGCACGTATTTCAAGGAAATGATGACTGGGCTTACAGACACAATGCCATTTGTTTGTAAAGCCGCAGAAAACTTAATTGATGTGTTTTAGGTGTCATGGCAAATCATGCAGGTGAGCCAAGAAGTACAAAGGAAAGAAGACACTTCAGTTTAAATGGCAGAGTTTTTCTTTGTAAATTAGGGTCTGTCTTCCCTGAAGTGTGTTCAGAGACCAAGTTTCTGTACCTTTGACTTTATACTCCCTTCACGTAATGAGTGAATGGTGTATACAAGAGAGTATAATGAAAAGTTGACTTGGGTGGTCCTGAACCAATCTTCTCTTTTCTTTTATCTTTTCTACTTCCATTCAGGTATGGACAGATCATAAGTAGGTGTCCAGGGGATACCAGAACAAGTCACATTTCCAAATCTGGGGGTATTATTAACTGTGTTTTCTGTCGGTACACTCAATTTGAGGCCTGGAACTTTTGAATTCATGTAGATCACAAGGTACCACACAACAAAACAACAACCGAAACACACTCCCATTAGCAATTTATACCCTGTTTACCGTGGGACATCTGATGATCCTTCCAGCGGCTTCATTCCCTGACCAAAGAAGATGGGTTTCCTTTGTCGGATGGTCGGTATTTTATTCTTGAGTTGTCACAGACACGCATGGGGTACAGTCAGAATACTGTTTTTACCAATCTCAGAAGGCTTTAAACACCTTCTCTCTCATCTCTGTTATCCCAGCTGACAATGAATCTTTCTTCTTAATTGTTGATTTATTTAGCATCTGTACAATGACTTTAATTTTCTGGCTACTTGTTCCCTTTTCTATTTTACACAGTCGTAAGGATCATAAAACGAGACTGGTTTCGTCTCAGATTTTGTGTGGGATATTTAGTCAGTTGAGTGCTTGCTGATTGGTCGTGCAGTTTCCCCATAGGATTGCTTCTTGAAATTGCTCATCATTGCATTAGATAGAATCACTCTTGTATGTAAAGAAGATTGGCATGTTCAGGAAACAGTTTTCATTATCTGGATTTGCTATTGCTGCTCATGTTGAGAAATTTTCTGTACCAAGATGTGTAGATGTTGTCCCTTTAATCAGTTTCCTCTTAACTGCCCGTGATGCTAGATCCATTTGGGGATTTAGCGGGGAGGATTGCTTCCTGTTTCTTCTTAATAAATGCAGGTGAGTCAGTCACTCAGGTTTCAGAATTGGTCCCTGTTTTTTAAGGACTACCAAGTACCAGTTGATTTTGAACGGTTCACATATGTGCAGAACTAGCTGAGAAAACTCAGCTTTGTGTGACCGTCCATCGCATTGTATCCCCTAAGGGTTTATGCAGCACGTATTTCAAGGAAATAATGACTGAGCTTACAGACACAATGCCATTTGTTTGTAAAGCCACAGAAAACTTAATTGATGTGTTTTAGGTGTCATGACAAATCATGCAGGTGAGCCAAGAGGTACAAAGGAAACTAAAAGATGACACATATAGAACTCCCCAGAAAATCATGTATGTTTTATTGCCTTGAAATCTCTCTTGGGAGAGATTTTGTTGTGTTTTGCTTTTGAATTTAAATGCTAGCAGCTGAGCTTAGAAGCTCAACAGGAAGCACTACACAAAATGTCTTTCTTGGGATACGTCCTATTTCTAAACCTATTGTTGGGGCCATGAAATACTTTGAACTGCTCAGAACAAAAATGGAATACGAACACCAGGTAGTGATCGTGTCATTAATTATCCTGGTTTTTTGCTGCTGGAAATGAGACGTGTTTGAGATGGGGTTCAGATGAGCTCCGCTCATTGGAGAAGTGTTAACCCAACCAGACTACAAACTACATCAGAGCATGAACATGTCAAGCAAGGTGGCAAGTTCAAAACCATAATGCTAAATAATCTAATGTTATGATCTACAGTATAAGCATATGATACTCTCTTATAAAAATAAGATGATATTTCCTAGTTCAATAGCTTTCCATTTATCTTTGATAGAGTGTGCCAAAGTTAAGCTGTCAGGACCTAAACCCCAAATTAAGACTTGAGAATCGTCTGAATTCTATGGCAAACAAAACTCAACCGAGTTAAAAGACACAGTACAGGTACAAAAATGGTGTGACTATGAGGACATGACATGCCACACTTGGCTTCCTGATCCAGTTGTCAAAGAACTACCTGGTAAACCACTATGTATGTGTTCATTCCACTTTTGTGGGTCCATCTGGAAATGGTGTTAAATAGTGAGTGATAACAGGATCTTCAGCCAGCCAGGTGTTGCTGGTTTGAATTGTAACTCTACCACTAACTACCTGTATGTACTCGAGTTACCGTGTGTAACTCAATCTGCTTATCCTCTGTGGAATGGGAATAAAAATATTCATATAATGGATTTGTTTTTGTTTTTTTAAGGATTTATTTTATTTTATTTTATTTTATTTTATTTTATTTTATTTTATTTATTCTTGAGAGAGAGAAAGAATGAGCATGAGCCAGGGCGGGGGTCGCGGGGGTGGGCAGAGGGAGAAGCAGGCTCCCTACCAAGTAGGCAGCTGGATGCAGAGCTCCATCCCAGGACCCTGGGATCATGACCTGAGCTGAAGGCATACACTTAACCAACTGAGCCACCCAGGTGCCCCTCCTGTGATGTTTAAGATTGCACAGTATATATAATGCATGTACAACATGCAATACCTGGCCCTGACCAAGTGCTCATTTAATGTTGGTTATTAATTTGAAGTCCCTAAAGGATGCAAAACTTCCTAACAGGAAAAGACGACACATATAGAACTCCTCAGAAAATCATGTATGTTTTATTGCCTTGAAAGCTCATAGCTAGCTAGCCACATTTAGCAGGGATTTATAAATGTTACCCTTTTAGTATACATTGTTGTTTAAAGGTAATTGTTGGGGATCCCTGGGTGGCTCAGCGGTTTAGCGCCTGCCTTTGGCCTGGGGCGTGATCCTGGAGTCCCAGGATCAAGTCCCACATCGGGCTCCCTGCATGGAGCCTGCTTCTCCCTCTGCCTGTGTCTCTGCCTCTCTCTTTCTGTGTGTGTCTCATGAATAAATAAATAAAATCTTAAAAAAACATAAAGATAATTGTCAATAATTTCAGGTAGAAACCTAAGGGGTATGTGGCCTAAATCCTTGTGGCTTTTCATGGGCTCAACGGTCTCCAGGCTCAGAATTGAGAGAAATAACTCTTTTCCCAAAGGTCAGTTATGCTTGTGGCCTCTTGATTGTTGTTTGCCCCCAAAGATCTCTGCGCTGTCTTCTGTTCTTGGAGGTGAGAGGGGTCTTGATGTTCAGAAGCCAGTGGAATGTGGCTCCAGGGTAATTGGCAGAAGGGGGTAGGCTGTAGGGGTTCCTACTTCACCACTGTGGCCTGCAAAGTTCCCAGAACAGGGATCATATAGCCTTCTCTTTGCTTTCACTCTGTATATGACATACTAGAAGTTTCATAGTCTGACTTCTTAACTTTTGCAGCATCCCTGACAGCATAAATACAAATAGGTCATACAATGTGAATCAGACTCCCCCAGCAATACAAGCCCTCTCAGGACACTAGCAGATTAACCTATGGCTATTTCCTGAGCTAATCATTAGTTACCCTCCCACAGGTAGAAACACCACTGATTGCAAAATCCCTTGGTTTCCCATGTTAACTTCCTCACTTCATTTTGGTGAAATTCAGGAAATTTTGAAATTAAATGATTTCTGAAATTGTGCATTATCAAATGTCAGAGTAAAATTACCTGAACACCTCCTCCTTTCCATGCATAGTTTCAATTTCCTGAAGCTAATTTCATCCTTCTAATTACAAGTACTCCAAGAAGAACTAGTTTTTACAACCCGGCATGAGAGCAAGTAACTCCTGTTCTTCAGGCTGACTTGCATGCAGGAGGCTTCCTGAATCTGCCTGAATACAGCTGCTTATGGCATGAGATAAATGTTCCCTGTTCTGTTGTCATCGTCATCATCATCATCATCACCACCACCACTATTATATTTTTAGTGCTAAGGGTCAGTAGGGAAATGGTCTCTCAATGGTCAGAACTTGATGTTTCTGAAAGAATCTTGCCCTGGTGATAGGTACCATAGGAAACTTGCTTCATTTCTTTTTTTTTTTTTTTCCATGAAGAGTAATATTTAAAATGTGAATGTTCTAGCTGTGTGTTAAATGTTATTTTAAACTCACTAGGTTAACTTAGACATATGTATCAAATCCAAGTATACTTTCAGGTGTCTTGCTGTTTGCTTGTGAAAAAAAAAAAATACATGCATGTCCATTTGAGAGGATCCTGCTGTACCATACGTCAAGAGGCTGGAAAATCTTGCCAGGCTGAGCTTTTTTGTTATTGCTTTTGCCTCTCACCCAAATAACTGCATGGAGAAAGAGAAAGGAAATTAGCGTTACACCTCAGGCAGATCAGGAAAAGCATCTTATGGTCACCCTAGTGTTCAGAATTATCCTTTGACGCTTTTCCTAATTTTTCTGACCATGGTGCGACAAGTCTACTGAATTATTATGTGGATTCAATATCCATCAACCAAGGGCCAAATCATGCTATTTGTTTTAGAAATAAAACTTACCTACCTCCTGGGCCCATCACGCAATCTCCTTCTCTATCTCCAGAGTTTCATGCGTTATCAGGTTCCTAACAAAGTGTTGTGTAAAACAAAACAGAAATAACTGTTTTCCTTCTTATATTTTTAAAACGCATGAAGTTGGGTTTTAATTTCCTTAGTATAAGTCATTGTGTGAATGCAACCTTACAAAATAGTCTACATCCAATCTTGTCCCCCTGAAAACTTTGGAAATGGCAGTACTGTCTCTTTTATTTTTAATCTGAGGGCTTAGCAAAAAGGTGTCAAAACTCTATAGCACGTTTCTCTCCCTGTCTCCTTCATATTCAAGCCACCAAATGGGATCTGTGGCTCAAAACGTAGCAGACTGTTGTACTCTCTACCACTTCTTGATAGCTTATTTTGCACCAGGAGCTGGGTTAAGGACTTGACATCACTTTGATTCAATCAGTACAATGGAGTAAAGTAGATGTTAACATCCACATGCTAAATGGGGAACCTGAAACCCTGAGAAGCCAATTTCACAAAAGTAGGAAATGAAAAGGCCAGAATCTGCTCACTGGGCCCTCTCTGTCAGGGAGGCTACTCTCAAAACCATGTATGAGGCGAGTGTAATGGGAAAACATAGTATAAATATGCAGCTCCATTATTGAAAATTAGCTATGATTAAGATACCAAGTTTTCCCTCTGCCTGGGAGATGCCAACCTCCATATATGTGCGTATGAGGGGCCACAGGAGCTACCACATGCTCTTGTCACAGCTCAAAGAAGGTAGCAAATCATCGTTCCCCTCCCCTCAATGTTCTGAACCAGCCTTGGCAAATATCCTTCTAAAAGGAAGGTGAAAGACAAGAAACAGAGTAACTATCCAAGCTGCATGATAACTGCCATATTTCCTAATTAAGTAAAAGGTTGTCACACCTGACATTCAAGACTGAAATGAAGAGGTTTCTTGATTAGAATTCTGTGCGTGCTTTGAGTCAAATGCCTTCCAGTATATACATACTCTTTGAAAGAGAACAAAAGTCCGTGCACATGGATTTGTCTTCTATATGTTCATGAATCGTATTGCAGTTCTCCAAAGAAAGGAACTTCTACTCAATGTCTTTGTGCTCTTCAGTGCTAACAGTCACAAGACATAGGTATCCAGTAATTTAATAACTACTTATTGCAGACTAAGGGTACTCCCATAGCCGTGTCTTGGAGCCCAGCTTTGGGCCCTGTCCCGAATTCTCTTTCTGTGAGAACACTGACACTGGGGACTCAGTTCAGCTGAGGCTTTTTCCATATCCCATACATATACGCAGAATGCTGAGTTCTCTGTTAAATGAAAATCAATTGGCTGGCTATACAGCTGGACAAGGAAGTTCCAGAAGACTTCAGTTGTGACTTGAGCTTATCGTAATTTTCAGATGCTGATGCCCGATTTTACACAAAGGATGACCAGGCCAGATTTGGGAGCCATTTTGTTGAGGAAACTGGAAATCCTCACCCTTCTAAAAACAGCTAACTAATGCCACATTATTTCCTAAATTTAAGGTTACATTTTCTGCCTCCCTCAGATTGACGTCACTTCTCCACGTTAAGAACCAGAGCGGCATTTGGCATTTGTTCACCCCAAACCCAAATCACTGACCCTTTGTTTTTAGTACTTTGCCATTTTGCTTTTGCTTTTTTAATTTGCTTGTGACTCTCTGCTTCCCCCATCTTTTTTTTTTTTTGGTACAATGATTCTTACCTTGTCTTTCCCCAGTCCGTTTCTGACCTGGAGAGACGTGCAGCATGTTATTGTCAGGACTTCCCGTGCAGGACATTTGAACGCTAATGACTGGAAAACCAATGCTGCTGGTTTTAAGGGTGAGAACTTCTTTCATATTCTGTCACAGGCAAAATATTTTTATTTTTCCCCCATTTTAAATGGAGAGCAGGAAGTAGAACCCCTCAAAAGAAACCTAAAGTCGTGTGCTGACACACAAAGAGCTTGCTCTTTTAGTAAATAAAAGGCAGACTGATTTTTTTAAATTCAAGCAACACATAAAAGGCAGAATTCCTTGGCTTCCCACATCATAGGTCAATTTCTTAAAAGACAACCAACTTCCAAGTATAGTCGACCTATGGGGCTTCTAATTAGTGTGTTATTGCTGTCATTGGTTATCTGAGTGGTGTTTGTAACAATGTATGTAAAACTTTCTCATCTTCTATAGTGATGACATCCATTTCAATAATAACTGGTATATTTTGTTCACTGTCAGTTTCTAGGCCATGCTTTCTCTACATTTTGTTTTTTTTTAAACTTCCACAAACAGCTAACTCTAAGATATTATATAAGTTAAAAGTTCTTATGAAGCTTTATAACATAGAGTATACACTTATGCACAATATATCCTAAGTGCTCTTTTTTCCCATGACTGAGGATTATAGTTCCCTCAAACTGTCTTACTAATGGTGGCCATTTTGTTTGTCATCATCCATAACATACAGTATAATAAAAAAATAATTTTATAAAGCAGATGTCCTAAATTTTAATCCTTTAAATAACCAAGATTACTCTCGGTCGTATCTGCAGACTTTAAATTTATTCTCAAATAATGTTGGTACCATTATGGGTAAAAAAAAGTAATGCAATAGGGAATGTCTACTTAAAAATTGAGGTACTGGTCCTCAGATCCTTAGTAACATGTTGAATAATCCTGGGCAAGTCATTTAATTATTCTAGGCCCTACCTTCTCCAACTTGAACATTTTAGAAACTGAATAATATTATCTACGTGCAATTTCTTAAATATGATTTTAATATGTCTTTAGTGAATTATATCCCATGTATGCAAATATCCATACATAAAATGTAATTTAAAAATTATTTGCAATTATAGTCTCATGCTTAGCCAAAACCTATAAATATACCAGATAATCAGTGCCATATAAAATATTTCTTTGGTTAGCATCTTCAATGAAGGCTTCACTCTATTTTTAGAAAAAGTCTCTCTCTGCTTTTGAGTAGTATCAGACACCTCTCCATATTCGTAAATTATGTAATACAGCAGTGTTCGATGAGCTTTTAATCTAAAGAGTCATAAATACTTGTTGAGATCACATTTCCTGAAGCCCAAATCAAGACACTCAACCTCAAAATAGCAATTGTTATGCGCGGCATCCAAAATATGTGAAATTTCAGTTGTAAAAAATCCAAGATGTACTTTGCCATAGATGTGCTTCAGTCTGATTAGCCTCTGCACCCTCCCAGCTCTTACGATCTAAATCCATGAGGCTGGGATGTAGATCTGGGGAAGGGGAAGAAGGGACCAAAACATAACCTTGGCTGGTTCAGGGCTGCAGTGAACTTTTTAGCAGAAGGTTCACAGACTAAGTACATTGACCTCCATGAAGCTGGGGAATCAACTTTAACCCAAATAAAAGTCTTAGTTTTACTGATTCCTTTTTGGCAAGTTAAAAAGAGCAAATGGTTCTAATAAAAAAAATAAAAATAAAAATTAAAAAACGTAGCTCTTTTGAAAACCTCTGTTGGTTTTGGAGAGGGGGAAACAGAGGATTTAGACTAACTCTCCAGATCCAACCCTGAGTCTGAAGGGGGCTATACAGCACTCTGGCAAGGAGGAAAGAGAGTTTTACTATTGCACGTGGCATTATTTAGTATAATATTTCACTCTTCTCTTAGATTGCTGCCAAGAGTAACAATTAAAGTTCGCTTTTTCATAGATGAATTACCCTGAATGGTCTGGACTCCCAGTGGAATTGTTTTGTAATTTTGTTGATGGCAAGCCCCATATTTCATCTAAACATGGTCATAATAAGAATAATTTTTTAAAGACCTATATTCTTCCCTACCCTAAGCATTACCATCCCCTCCCTAGTGTCCTACAAATAAAAGTGATTAAGGCAGAGGCTCGCAGGAGAAGCCATGTGCTTTGGGGAAGGAGAGGATGCAGGTCACCGGGATTGAACAGAGACGGGTGACTTTTTATGAAATAAGAACTGAACAAACAAAAAAAAATAGCTAACTTTTGGAAGGGTTTCGTGCAATGAGAGCTCAGCGAGAGCTCATATTTTAAATTAGGTCAGCCAGCTTTTGCAGGCCTCCCTTAACAGGAACACATGGCCAAACATTTTTCCTTAGACAGGAGAAGACTGCAAACAGGAGCATGTAGCCATGGCCCCTCTCCCTCTTCTATGCAACTTAGTCCTGACCCTGCATGAGGTGTGTGCCTGAAATGAATCTGAGAGCATCTCTGCTTCCCTGGGCTTGCTCTTGTGCCCTAATGTTGAGCAATTTAACTTGTTTAAAGTGTTTAGGAAAAAAAACCCAAAAACCTGAGAATAGTTTCACAGATGGCTTGGTAGGTGCTCTTCCGCATTGGGGATGTCAATATCAACAAAAGAATTTCCTTTTCATGAGGTAAAGCAGAAGCAGCAAGGGTAGCAACCAATTCAGTATTGGGATCTTGTCATCGAGAGACTTTATAGTCATCACTGATCGTGTCCCAGAAGCCAACACCCTCAAGAACAATTTCTCACCAGACCCTGCCAAGTCCTTACATTTCTGCATGCAGTGCCCTTGCATTTCTTCAGGCATACCCATATGCAGTACCTCCCAGGCAGAGAGTAGAACCAGATGATCTAGCAGCTAGACTGATGTGGGCTTCTCCACGAGGCCTACTCGATGCATTCTAATCCACATGTGTTATGGACCTGGAAAATGCAAGAGATTCCCTCCAGCAGCAGCTGCTGGCTTCCTATTGACTGGCACAGGCAGGCTCTCATTCAGACAAGGAGGTTGGC